GTGATGTGTTTAAAGGGAAAATTTCTTTTGAGAAAGGTAAACTTGTTTTGAGTGTTGAAATGAAGTCATAGGTCTCCAACACCCGGCATTATCATTTTTTACCATGTTACGCGTTCTGCAAAATTACTCGAATAAGCGAATGTGATGCTCTTTTGTTAATAATTACAGAGATCTTTGATGAATTAGAATGGAAACGAAGTTTTATCGTAACAAAAAAAAACGTATTGAAAACTCGGAGAACAGTTGATAGTTTTTGGACGATGTAATGAACATTTTCGGCTGTTTTTCTATTGGATTTGATATAAACTATCGTCCAAACTTTTCTTTCCCTGAGAAGAACATTTGAATCAATTAGGAAGATTTTTCAAGTGTAATTTTGTCAAATTTCCGATGAATTGAAATGAAAATATTTTTACTTTTATCAACAAATATTTCAATAGGAGATGATACAATTGATCTTTTCTTTTACATATACTTCTCTACTTCAATGTTTTGTATTTCTTATATTATCATCGATGTATAATCTTACAGACATATCATTATCACAAGTTTATCTGGTTCTCAGCGAAAAACGTTTCTCCGTTGGTAAACAACCAGTGGCTATTATAGTTGTTACTCATGTGGAAAGGGTTATTTGTTTTATCTCCTTGTTGTGTTTGGTTTTAGGGTCGATCTGATCGCATTGGCAGCAGAAAAATCAATAGTTACTCCGTTATCTTCATTCCACGTCTTTCTCTGAAACGACTTTTGTTTCTGAACAGAAGAACATTTTCTTTGATGAAACAATCGGCATATTTTTCATTGGAAAATAAAACTCGTTCTCATTTATTTAATGAAACCTGAGTTTCCCAATCAATTAGATCGATCTCTTTTGACGTCGATGAACATTTTATTTGTTTTAATTCTTTGTACACGTTACGTAAACGTATACTTTAATTACTTTCGTGATGATTCTTTGTCTTCTTTTAAATATTAAATTTGTCGAATAAAAAGAAGTTAGAAAGAACAAATGTGTAAGAAATCGACTCTGATTTCATCATAATGATCATTCTATTGGTTCTTCTATTACTTTTCAGTTGCATTCAAACTATTCAAATCGGTTTGATACAAAATGTCTATGTTTAATGATAAATTCAAATCAAACAACTGTGTCATTTTATTGTTATCAGAACAATAGAACATGTCAACTATTCAATAACGGTCTAAACCTTGTCCGTAATCAGTTAAATCACGAATTAAATACTTCATTCTATTTTCTACAATATCCACCGAGAAATTTTACTGATTTATTATGGCCATCCGATTAAAGTATCAATGATGAATCAAGTTTTGTTTATATGACACAAAAAGGTGTTGTTTCATATATTTCACCAGGAATTTATGGTCGAGGTGTCGCTTTGGTTTTCAACGGTGTCCAATATTTGACAGCATCTTCTCCATATCTTGATACAACGTCAAATGGTTTTACTTTTGAAATGTGGATTTATANTCTCGATCCCGTCCATACTACTGTTGCAGCAAGTACTGCTGTTGTCTTTGAATCATAAACTTTCTATTGCTGAGGAGCACCTACCTATGATCTTTTCAAAAACAGCGGTTTAAACTATCATCTTTGATTTATAATCGTATTGTACCATTATCATCACCAATTAAACTAACATCACCAAGCGTCATACTTTGCGCAGCATTAAAATGAAATTCAATACTTATAGCTGGGTTTGTAGGACTATCATTACCCTTCTGCACTGTTCCTTCCCATTCATGAGGGCGATTACTATTCTGATTTTCTTCTCGACCATTGACGAGAATCGTTCCTTCTACCAAACACGACAGTCGTCAAGCGCCTAAATCCCTGAAGGAACAAAAATTCACCATGTGGAATCATCTAAACCTCTCACCATCTCACTATCCGTTTAAATATTTCCAAATCGAACTAGCGAGAACAATAACATGCCAACAAAACAACCTTTCAATTCTGCGTTTCTTATTTCTACATAACGCAAGAAGACAAAACTCATTAGACATAAGACTACTCAATGTTTATAACGAAAGACTTACGTTCAAACTGTATGCGAATAAAACTATAACCTATACAAAAAATCCGGTACAGAATCAAACGATTCCTCACAGTGCAGATGCTTATTCCCTGCTGTATACGATCAGAATGTCCCTGATTCAACAAACAACACGCGCCAAATTAGAGACTATCGACGAACTGCAGGTACAATGACAAAGACGCCAAAGAATGACAAAAAAAGAAATAAACGACACCATTATCGTCGTACAAACACTCCACCACCTTGGATATCAATCTTCATCCTGACATGGTCAAACTATAACTTCATCTACTGTTTGACATATTCATCCCAAAACTCTCACACGAAACCCATATCTATAAGCCATCTCATTGAAGCAACCAAACGCCGACATATCCTCAAACTATATGACCACAAGCACAGACCAAATCAAAAAACAAAATTCATCCAAACCAAAAAAAACACCACAATCCGAGCTCCAATGGGAAATAATAACAATCTATACCGATCTTCGACTGAAACCAATTTCTCACAATACACTATCTATCACCACCACTGGAACAACATCGAACCAATGTCCCGCAGTGAGTATACAATTTATTGCAACTTTCTATTTGCCTTCTTTCTCGCACCATACTTCGACACAGTGAAAATCTCACTGTGATAGCATCCTTCACTAGAAACAATTCTTGGAAAATTTTGGTTCATAGCCTAAGCAATAGAGGATGGTAACACGAGTGTCCGGCAGCGAGCTTGCAATTAATTAACACTTTCTTTTTGACTTATTGCTTGCACAGTGGTTCTAGAAGGTCGAAATCTCAGTATGTTAGCATCTTTCACTAGAAATAATTCTAAGAAAATTCTCGTTCATAGCCTAAGCAATAGAGGATGATAGCACGAGTGTCCGGCAGCGAGCTTGCAATTTATTAACACTTTCTTTTTGACTTATTGCTGGCAAGTGGCTCCAGGAGGTCGAAATCTCTGTGTGTGAGCATCTTTCACCAGAAATAATTCTTAGAAAATTCTCGTTCATAGCCTAAGCAATAGAGGATGATAGCACGAGTGTCCGGCAGCGAGCTTGCAATTAATTAACACTTTCTTTTTGACTTATCGCTTGCACAGTGGTTCCATGAGGTCAAAATCTCGGTAAAACAGCATCGTTCACCAGAAATAATTCCTTGAAAATTCTCGTTCATAGCCTAAGCAATAGAGGATGATAGCACGAGTGTCCGGCAGCGAGCTTGCAATTTATTAACACTTTCTTTTTGACTTATCGCTTGCACAGTGGTTCCAGGAGGTCAAAATCTCGATAAAACAGCATCGTTCACCAGAAATAATTCTTAGAAAATTCTCGTTCATAGCCTAAGCAATAGGGGATGATAGCACGAGTGTCCGGCAGCGAGCTTGCAATTAATTAACACTTTCTTTTTGACTTATCGCTTGCACAGTGGTTTTACGAGGTCAAAATCTCAGTGTGTTAGCATCTTTTACCAGAAATAATTCTTAGAAAATTCTCGTTCATAGCCTAAGCAATAGGGGATGATAGCACGAGTGTCCGGCAGCGAGCTTGCAATTAATTAACACTTTCTTTTTGACTTATCGCTTGCACAGTGGTTCCAGGAGGTCAAAATCTCGGTAAAACAGCATCTTTCACCAGAAATAATTCTTAGAAAATTCTCGTTCATAGCCTAAGCAATAGAGGATGATAGCACGAGTGTCCGGCAGCGAGCTTGCAATTTATTAACACTTTCTTTTTGACTTATTGCTTGCACAATGGTTCCGGGAGGTCGAAATCTCGGTAAAACAGTATCCTTCACCAGAAATAATTCTTAGAAAATTCTCGTTCATAGCCTAAGCAATAGAGGATGATAGCACGAGTGTCCGGCAGCGAGCTTGCAATTAATTAACACTTTCTTTTTGACTTATTGCTTGCACAGTGGTTCCAGGAGGTTGAAATCTCAGTATGTTAGCATCTTTGATTAGAAATAATTCTTGGAAAATTTTCATTCATAGCTTAAGCAATAGAGGATGATGGCACGAGTGTCCGGCGGCGAGCTTGCAATTTATTAACACTTTCTTTTTGACTTATCGATAGCTTAGTTGTTTGAGTTAAAGGTGTGGATGTTTGAGGATGATAGTAAAAAAGCGGGTGTTTTTTTCAGTGGCTTGTGGTTTGTACGCGTGGTACAATGTTTGTTAGGCGTGTGGTCTTTCATTCTTTTTTTGAAAAAAGGCGGAACTCATTTGTGTTCCATAACCGTAAAGAAAATTCTTAAATGTGAAGAAGATCAAGATTTTCTATAGTTATTTCTAAATTGAAATATTATTTTGAAACCGTCAAATCGGAGAGATACTGCTATGAATGGGATGAAGTGTTTTTGCGATATTTGAATTGAACAGTGATGGAAATCATCGTTTAATCGAGTTTTGCGGCTATGAAATAATGGTGGAATGGTTTATTCGTACTGAGTATTGTATGAGTAAATTGTTGTAATACATTGTAATTTGACATATATGCAATTCAACAATCAATTTCAATCCAAGATGACAATGGGAAACTCGGAAGATTGTAGAAAAGTGTTTGTTTCCGCCAATACTGCATAATCAAAGTAAAGAGTTCCTTGTCACATTTCAAAGTGCAAGTTTTTTTAATGAATATGAAAAGGACTGTGAGAATAGCCGAGTCCTAGATTTGCTAGCAGACATTGGATACTTAGTACAATACTTGGTACTTTTCGTACTGAGTAAGTAAAAATCTTAAGTACGAAGTAAATATTTTGTAGTACAAGTATATTTACTTTTACTGGTAAAAATGTACTAGAACTTTGTACTTGTACTGAAACAAATGTACTAGGACTTCGTACTAAATACTTTTTACTTAAGTACCGGTACTACAAGTACAAAATGTACTTTGATGGTTTTTTTAAGGTCATACCTTGTAAACAAATATTTTTAACACATTTACTTGCATAAATCTTATGCTTCAATTGAGATTTTACTGTGCTATCGTTTTTCATCTTGCTTCGACTTGCCAGCTCTGATTAATCCCATAAGTGTCGTTTGTATAAACGTTACTATGAACTTTTTTCTACTCGAACATGATTTCCAACGGACAATTATATCTATTTAGACATAATCTGAGAGTGAATGTATCAATTGTTTGGATTTAGGTTAGCTTAGCCCACCCTGAATGAAAATTCTGGCGTTGCTGTTATGCTTCACTGTGCGAAAAGCATAAGTTATAATAAGAAATAAAAATTTTGACCAAGAACTGAAAATAATTGAATTCGCATTATGTCAATTATAACTTACAATCATTTATTTCATAGATGTCACTAAAGTGCGCCGGAAACTTAGCATTAATCCACATGTTAGTCAGGTTTTTTCATGAACGAATACATATTAAAGCTCTTTTTAGATACATTTGTACTTAAGTACAAGTACAAGTATTTGTACTGAATACTTTGTACTAGTACATTTTTACTTTAGTACATCTACTTTTCGTACTGGTACTGAGTACAAATGTACTAAATTTGGACTTAGTAAAGTCCTAAGTCCTTTTTTTTGGACTTAGGTATTTGTACTTTTACTTGGTGTACTTGTACTTGTCCAATGTCTGTTTGCTAGAAAGTAAAAATTTTAAATATTAATACTTTTACAGAAAATAGCTGTAATGTACGAAAAATACCTCAAATTAATACCAGCAAAATGTGTTGTCATGCGTCAGTTATTCCAGGCTTCTAAAACCTAGCAATGTGTAGTTATCATAGAAGTTTTTATTCTGCTCATCGAATATTAGAAAATTCCACGGAAAGTTGCTGTGACGAGCGGTACAAATTTCTCAGCTATTCAAAGATTTTGAGTTGCTTTGCTCTTCAATTATCAAGTTTCTCACGAATCTCCAAGGTTCCCAATATCACTTGCTACTGAAAATAGCCGCTGTATTGGAACGTTTTGTCCTATCGCCCGTTTGTGTTGCTCTCAAATAACGTATCAATACAGATAATTTGTATTTCAGAATGGATAATCTGTTCTCGATGAAAAACGTCGTTATTGGTCTTTTGTTAAATTATTCAAATGATCATTGTTTTCATATTCGAGCTATTCAAAAACGCTCGTTTTTATTTTATTTTGTTATAGATATGAAGTTAAATAATCATCTTAACTGAACAATATTGTTGAAAGAAACTCATATGTATTACTCAATATTATATTTTTGTATTCGATGATTATGATTATCGACAACATAAAGATTGTTCTGATGATCGAATGATAATCCAACAGGAAGGTTCAATTGATGTGCCTGCGTTCCATTTCCCTTTCCACCCACGATGACGTCACCTTGTGATGCTCCTTTGGTCCAGCGCATCACTCGATGATTAAAAGTATCAGCAACATACACAGTACCTAACTGATTGACAAGTATACCACGAGGGAATGACAATTGATTCAAACCATTGCCTCGTCCATTTCCACCAGCAACAACAAGTCCTTCTTTTGCACCTTTTATCCATTTCATTATGCGATGATTCTCAGAATCCGACACATAGATTGAATAATCTTGGTCGACATAAATATATGTCGGAAAATGAAGTTGATTGAGCGCTTTTCCACGCCCATTACCACCAATCACCAATGTTTCATTTATATCTCCTATTTTCCATCGTTTTACTTCATTTTTTTTAACATCAGATGCATAAAGATATCCATCGTTATCAATGATTAAATCCCAACAATCTATATCTGAGATTAGTATTTCTCCATTTGCATCGCTTCGACGCGGCCATCGCATTATACGTCTATTACCCGCATCGCAGATGATTAACGAATCAGTCTCTTTTTCGAAAACTATACTTCTTGGATAACTTAATTGATTATTTTCATTTCCTTGGCCATTTCCGCCAGCAATGACTTGTCCACAGACCATATCATGCTGCCATTTTACAACACGATGGTTAAAACAGTCAGCAATATAGAGAGTCTCGCCATTATCATCTACATATAAACCATTCGGATGATACAGTTGTAATTGATTACCTGATTCATTTCCTCCGACCAAAGTAATTCCTTTCTGCATCCATTTCGCATCATTGGGAACAGTGGGAATAGACAGTTGTGCTATAGTGTAATAAAGTTTAGTATAGAAGAATACTTATTTCATTTCAAATTTCATATTGTGCATCACTTACGAGAAAGTGTGACAACTGATATTTTGGTTATAAATGATGAAATCTCCTCTCTGATGGAAATATTTCGTAGTTTGTTCAGCTCTTTTGTTAATTGTTTCAATGCGTCTTCATATTTCTGTAAAATAGTTTCGTTAATGTCCTTTTCTCGTCGAGTTTGTTTCAGTTGTTCACTTAGTTCGTTTAATTTAACTAAAACTTTATGAATATGTCTCTCAATGGGTTGAACTAAGGATTGTCTCGATTCTTCTGCCACTTGTTGAATTCTATGAATTGAATCACATTCCCATTTATTAATTTGCTGTATAAGAGGATGTTTTGATACATTGGATTTCTGTTCATTGAGTGTTTGAAGAAGACTATTGCGGTGATCTTCTATACTATTAAACTGATCTTCAATTAACTGACGATGCTCTTCCAAATGTGCGAAACAGAAGTATTGTGAACAATTTACACATAAGTACGCAGCGTTACTCCGTCTACATGTAAAACAGGTGGTTGTAGTTGCTCTGGCCATAACTGATTGTCGAAAGACAACAGAAAAAAAGACAAATGAGTATGTTATCTGATTGCATAAATACATGATAAAAGCACATGCAAACGTTACAAGGCATCAATTGTAAATAACAGAACGCAAAAGATTTAAAATAATCAAGGAATGTCAGTGGATTGACAAAGGAGTCTTTCCACTTGTCGACGTGAGGATGAGGGTGAATAATGCTATATATCACTGGTAATAACTAGTTGTTTTACAGATGATTTGTAGTATAAAGTAAGATTCTGAATTCCTCATGGATTCGTAATTCATGGAATTCGGGCAGGTCTCCCTCAAAAATCAATATCTTCAGTTTTGGTTTCCACGTTCACTTAACATTCGGTATTACTTTGAATACCTGCTTTTTCATTTGAAAACAAATTAGCCACTAAAGATTAGCGAGCATTACAAAGGGGGAAAACCTAACTTCAAATTTGTATCACAAGATCGAAGGTTCTTGAAATGACGGAGTATAACTGAAAGTATCTAGAGAAAACTTAACATATCGGAGACCTATATGGAGCATGAGAATGTCACATGGGGTATGTGAGTACTGAACTACCAACTGAAATATCGAAGAATTCATTCAAAATATTTATACTGCGAACTTTGTACTCCGAGATACTCCAAATGACACTTCCTCACTACGATTTCAATCCACAGTGCGTTAATCGATCATTGATATTCCCAAGAAAACACAGTGGTTTAACAATATCATAAATCTAATTGGAACATGAGTAACGAAGTATTGTGACCGAAAGATCCTTCAAATATTGATTAAAGCTAAATCTATAGGTCATATTCTACGTCAGCTTGTCCTATGACGGTTGGGAAAACGGTCCTACAAAAAAAACTCGTTGAAAATCGAACTGGATATGATTTCGAATAGTTACTTGACTGATACCTAGTGACTATATAAACGAAAGTGTCGATGAAATCATGGTAATATGTAAATTTGGCGAAATCTATCATGGATAGATGCATAGTTGTACATTACTGACACCTGTGATTGTCCATCATTTGATTGATCAAATTGAAAAGCGACAAAGAATAATGAACTTTATTCTATATTCACCAAATTAATATCGAATAGTCTAAAAAAAATCGAAACCATGTTTTTTTCTTGTGAATACAAAAAATAGAAGTTTATTAGTTCCAATCTTTGTTCCTGATATATAAGGGATGACAGAGACAAATCCAATTTCCTATACAATTATTCAATATTCGTTGATTACGGATCAAATTCTTCAGAAATGTTCTACATTATTTAACAACAATTACGGTGTTTGGAACAACAATGCTTCTCTTCACAGTAATAATGTTTTACAAACTGGTTCTCGTGTTAAACTGGGAGTCAAGCGTCTTCGTGAATTGATGCTTTTCAATGATCGTTGTTTTCTTGTAGTAGCAGAGATACGTTCATTAGAAAAAGATCAATTTGAACTGATCGGTCACGCTTTCAGCACATATGTCAATTATAATCGTTTAAACGGCAATGTTGTTTGGATCACTCAATTAGTTGTTTGCTCGACTTGCCGAGGTCGAGGTGTAGCAGGTACTTTACTTTCTTTGGCTAAGAATAATATTCAAGATGTTGTTGCTATGGGACTTGCATCTTCACATCCATATGCTGTAATGGCTCTATGCAACGCTTGCAATCGTATTCCAATTAACTTGAAATTTATTGCTGATCATGCAAAAGATATTATCGAAATTTGTAAAATTCCTTATATTTCTCGTAGTCAAGTTATTGGTTCGATTTTTGATAAACAATCTTCTCAAATGGTTGATATCGACGAGCAACCTGTTTCTCTCATAAAAACTGATTTTTTTGTTGATCATAAGGAAGTTTTAACAATATTAGAAAAAATTCAACAGACATGGATTCTCGGACCTCTTTTAGAAGGTCATGAATTTGTGATCATATTACCAACTACATCCGTTCGCCGTTCAAGAACTCCCTCAAATACATTTTCATCAAATAGTTCACCATTAGAGAAACAACCGTCGATGTAGTTTGTTTTTCTGAAGAAAGCTTTTTTGTTTTGTTTTAGTTATGAGATCATAAATAAATATCTTTGATCGATTATGATTAATTAAAACGTATAAATACAAATAGTTTAATTATTGATTTGACTACTCAACATAACAATAAACTCATGAATAATGAAGTATCGATAATTTAAGATGTGCAGCAATATTTCGTGTAATCAAATTGATATTAACAAACGATCTCAACCTGAAGAATATTTTTTGAGAGAAATTACAAATGTAAATAAATATACGTATGATTAAAAAAGAATTGTGTCAATCGGAATTTTATTTGGAAAAAACGATTTTGAAATAGTTTTACCAAAATATTGACCTTATAAAATTGTTTTAGATAAACATGTACTTTAGAATTAAGACCTTGATTCTAACGACAATTATATTCATGCACTAGATAAGAAGGTCGCTGAGATATTTATCCATGTCGTAAATATTCATTTCATCAATGGTTAATTTATTCGTCGAATTTTCTTGAATCCTTTGTAAACATCAACCAATTCTTTTATTGAGACTCGCGTTGCTCTATAGGTTTTCCTAATATTTCATACACGCCCTCCTCACCCTCAAGATGATTTGTCAACGCAAAACACGTTCTTCCGATAAATTAAATGAACCACAACAGTGTATGATTTTTTTTTGATAGTTTCATTGATTACTGGATGAAGCCAAATAATTGTTGATCATTGGTATCAAAGCAGTTAAATGATCATCTAATTCGCGTCGAGATAAAACCTTATACGTAAGGCCCGATGTTTTCCAGACACGGTGGACAATCTTCGATGTAGTCGATAAACTGTCAGGTTCTGCTGGAAAATGGATCTGCTCATCGAGAAAAGAGTTATTCTATTTTATGGCATTGTTCCAAAGAATCACCTTTCAAAATCTATTTTTGGTTCTCGAGATGATCGAACTTACGTTTGCTAAATTTCCAACTATATTTTTCCTTTTGTAAATTCTGAGTGATGTCATAATCCCGTTATACCCAGTATTCATCCAAACGCAGACAGTTCACTGCGTAACCATAGGCAGTTGACTCGGTGTATCCAGCTCGATACCCATGTCTATGTGTCTTGCAAAGCTGAGGGATATGAGTGGATTTGGGGCACTCCACCCTCACCCACACCCACCCTCACCCTACTGAGAGTCAACATTGGTACAACCGATCAGGCTCATCTTGGCACTCGGCTGAGGTATTGATGAGATGATGCTGTGTAGAAAATTTCAGGTCAGTCTGTGGTTTTTCTATCGAAAGTTATCGTGTATACGGATGGACATACTAACCGACTTTAGTAGTATATGCATTTTTTAAATACACGAAAAGAAGCAGTTAAAGTTTTTTTTTCTATTCCATTTTGTAATATACACGTCAGATCACGTGCAGTTTTTGCGCAGAAAAAAAGAAAAAAAAACGTTGAAAATAGTGTTTTTTTCTTTACGTGCATTATGATGCTGGCGTGTTCAGATGTGTAACAAAAGCATTTTCTACGCACTTTACGACGATGTTAGCTGACTGAGTATTGTGATAGTTGTATTGATTAAAACTTACAAGAACATTATTATGGTATGTTCAACTCATCGTTATCTAAATTAAGTTGAACACCAAATATAATCAATGTAGTTCTAATAATTTGAAATATCTTGTAGACAATAGACTTCTCAAAAGATACTAAACTGTTAGACACGCTGCTTCTATATATATATTCGCAATCAGTAGAGGGAATAACCATCATTATTATTTTGTAACGATGTCATTCTTGTAATTTTAGATCATATTTATTAGATCCTTCGATTGGAATTTGATTTAACTACGATTTGTAAAACATTGAATATACTTTTTACAAAAGTATTAGTCTGAAATGGCTTTATCCCTAGAACGTCGTTGCGTATCAGCCACATATGCACTATTTATCTTCAGAAATCTTCTGGATCTTGCTATATCAACTTGTACAGATTATCATCAAAACTCAATGAATTCATTCTGGTTCGATCTCTTAGACAGTTTTAAACAAACCATATTGATCATTATGTTTACATACTCATTGTTAATATATTTTTACACAAGCCATGGTTCTTTCAAAGAAACATTATATTCATATATCTGTGGGGGTTATGTTGATGCGTTTTTTTTACATCATTTTATTTTACTCTCAATCTCGCGCAAAATCCTCTTCAGATATGTATTCCCAGTGACCGTCTGGAAGAGTTTTTTGCAGATCGCAGTAGTCGATTATTACCACTAAAAGTCGCTGTATATAACGATAACGATGATGATTTTGAATTAGATGTAGATTATTATCATATTCGGTACAAAAACGTACGCGTATATCGTATACGCAGTGGTAGAAAAAAGATGCCGAATGTCAAGAATGCAACAGTGGCTTTGAATAGTGAAACATTATCAAGCAAAGAAAATATTCCACTGGAGCAACGAATTATATTTTCATCAAGACATGGTTATTTTGTCAAAAATATTGATAATATTGATCAAAACTTTATTTGTCAATCATGTCATCTAGTTTTTCGACAACCTTTTCATCTTCGTTGTGGACATCGACAGTGCCAAACATGTTTAAACACACAAAATAAGTAAATATATTCATTTTCTCTCTAAAATCTCCTAATTATCGATTTTTCATCCAGCAATATTATTCATTGTATCTTATGTTCTCAATCTTCTACAATTGATGAAGTATGTCTTGTAAATGTATATCTACATATATCAGTTTCGTTTCTTTTCTCATTTTATCGTCAGATTTATTACGATGAAAAGTTTCAAAATCAGTTGGAATATTTATTAATATCTTGTCCAGTTTGTGATTGGAAAGGACAATTGAAAACATATGAAGTAAGGAGTATAGGCTAATGATTTTGTTTCTTACTATAATTGACATTTCTGTATAGAAACATCTTGAAGATAATCATTCAAACAAATTATTTACATGTGCGTTTTGCAAAGAAGAAGTAAAATTTCGTCAATCGATGATCATTTTAATTCTATGGTATTTTTTAGGTTAATCAAAGTAAAGTCTGGGAACATTACTTGACTTCATCACATCAATTAATGGTGTTAAACATTCTCTGTAATCTACAAAGAAAACACGATGAAAACCAGAAATTGAAATTTTCTAAAATTCTCGATTCGCTCAATATGACATCAAATGAAATAACTGCGCTCGATAAGAGTTTGCAACAAATAAAATGTGAAGATCATCTTCAACACAACACACTTCAACAGTATGATTCTCAAATACTTTTATTGAAATTTTTAAGTAAAAATATTGAGAATGAATTGAATCGAATGAAAACTATTCAAGATTTCTATCCACGAGAAATATTTCTATTAAAACAGCAATTCAATGCAAAACAATTGACAGTTTTCGATGGAATATTAATTTGGAAAATCAATGATGTCAAACAAAAACTATGTATGTATATTCAGAACAAAATCATTCTATTTNTTCTATGAATTGAATCACATTCCCATTTATTAATTTGCTGTATAAGAGGATGTTTTGATACATTGGATTTCTGTTCATTGAGTGTTTGAAGAAGACTATTGCGGTGATCTTCTATACTATTAAACTGATCTTCAATTAACTGACGATGCTCTTCCAAATGTGCGAAACAGAAGTATTGTGAACAATTTACACATAAGTATGCAGCGTTACTCCGTCTACATGTGAAGCAGGTGGTTGTAGTTGCTCTGGCCATACTGACTGTAGAAGGACAACAGAAAGAAAAACAAATGAGTGTGTTATCTGATTGCATAGATACGTATATGATAAAAGCACATGGAAACGTTACACAGCATCAATTGTCAATAACAGAACGCAAAAGATTTAAAATAATCAAGGAATGTCAGTGGATTGACAAAGGAGTCTTTCCATTTGTCGACGTAGTTTGGAAATGATTCCCATCTCGTTTTGAAACCATTCTATTCCTTTTAGAGAAAATAAATTACAAAAACGACAACTAAACTTAGAGGTACATTAATAGGACAATGTGAGACCATCTTGAGAGTGTCGGTGAGGGTGAATAATGCTATATATCACTGGAAATAACTAGTTGTATTACAATGATTTGTAGTATAAAGTAAGATTCTGAATTCCTCATGGATTCCTAATTCATGGAATTCGGACAAGTCTCCCTAAAAAATCAATATCTTCAGTTTTGATTTCCACGTTCACCTAACATTCGGTATTACTTTAAATACCTGCTTTTTCTTTTGAAAACAAATCAGCCACTAAAGATTAGTGAGCATTACAAAGGGGGAAAACCTAACTTCAAATTTGTATCACAAGATCGAAGGCTCTTGAAATGACGGAGTATAGCTGAAAGTATCTAGAGAAAACTTAACATATCGGAGGCCTATATGGAGCATGCTTTGGAGTATGCGAATGTCACATGAGGTATGTGAGTACTGAAGTACCAACTGAAATATCGAAGAATTCATTCAAAATATTTATACTGCCAACTTTGTACTCCGAGATACTCCAAATGACACTTCCTCACTACGATTTCAATCCACAGTGCGTTAATCGATCATTGATATTCCCCAGCAAACGCAGTGGTTTAACAATATCATAAATCTAATTGGAACATGGGTAACGAAGTATTGTAACCGAAAGATCCTTCAAATATTGATTAAAGCTAAATCTATAGGTTATATTCTACGTCAGCTTGTCCTATGACGGTTGGAAAAACGGTTTTACAAAAAAAAAACTCGTTGGAAATCGAACTGGATATGATTTCGAATAGAATAAGCTGCTGAAAAGAAAAGAAATAATGGAAGTTTTGGAGTACTGGAGTATCGAAATCCTGGGTGCCTTTTCCTTGCAAAAACGACGCTTAGGATTGGTAAATGTTACTTGACTAATACCTATAGTGACTATATAAACGAAAGTGGCGATGAAATCATGGTAATATGTAAATTTGGCGAAATTTATCATGAATAGATGCATAGTTGTACATTACTGACACCTGTAATTGTCCATCATTTGATTGATCAAATTGAAAAGAAACAGAGAATAATGAACTTTATTCTATATTCAAATTAATATCGAATAGTCCAAAACAAATCGAAACCATGTTTTTTTCTTGTGAATACAAAAAAAATAGAAGTGTATTAGTTACAATCTTTGTTCCAGATATATAGGGATGACAGAGACAAATCTAATTTCCTATACAATTATTCAATATTCGTTGGTTACAGATCAAATTCTCCAGAAATGTTCTACATTATTTAACAACAATTACGGTGTTTGGAACAACAATGCTTCTCTTCACAGTAATAATGTTTTAAAAACTGGTTCTCGTGTTAAACTGGGAGTCAAGCGTCTTCGTGAATTGATGCTTTTCAATAATCGTTGTTTTCTTGTAGTAGCAGAGATACGTTCATTAGAAAAAAATTAATTTGAACTGATCGGTCATGCTTTCAGCACATATGTCAATTATAATCGTTTTAACGGCAATGTTGTTTGGATTACTCAATTAGTTGTTTGCTCGACTTGCCAAGGTCGAGGTGTAGCAGGTACTTTACTTTCTATGGCTAAGAATAATATTCAAGATGTTGTTGCTATGGGACTTGCATCTTCACATCCATATGCTGTAATGGCTCAATGCAACGCTTGCAATCGTATTCCAATTAACTTGAAATTTATTGCTGATCATGCAAAAGATATTATTGAAATTTGTAAAATTCCTTATATTTCTCGGAGTCAAGTTATTGGTTCGATTTTTGATAAACAATCTTCTCAAATGGTTGATATCGACGAGGAACCTGTTTCTCTCATCAAAACTGATTTTTTTGTTGATCATAAGGAAGTTTTAACAATATTAGAAAAAATTCAACAGACATGGATTCTCGAACCTCTTTTAGAAGGTCATGAATTTGTGATCATATTACCAACTACATCTGTTCGCCTTTCAAGAACTCCCTTAAATACATCTTCATCAAATAGTTCACCATTAGAGAAACAACCATCGATGTAGTTTGTTTTTCTGAAGAAAGCTTTTTTTGTTTTGTTTTAGTTATGAGATTATAAATAAATATCTTTCATCGATTATGATTAATTAAAACGTATAAATACAAATAGTTTCATTATTGATTTCACTACTCAACATAACAATAAACTCATGAATAATAAAGTATCGATAATTTAAGATGTGCAGCAATATTTCGTGTAATCAAATTGATATTAATAAACGATCTCAACCTGAAGAATATTTTTTGAGAGAAATTACAAATGTATATAAATATACGTATGATTCAAAAAGAATTGTGTCAATCGGAATTTCATTTGAAAAAAACGATTTTGGAATAGTTTTACCAAAATATTGACCTTATAAAATTGATTTAGATAAACATATACTTTAGAATTAAGACTTTGGTTCTACGACAATTATATTCATGCACTAGGTAAGAAGGTCGCTGAGATATTTATCCATGTCGTAAATATTCATTTCATCAATGGTTAATTTATTCGTCGAATTTTCTTGAATCCTTTGTAAACATCAACCAATTCTTTTATTGAGACTCTCGTGCACGCGCACTTACCTCTTAAACTCGCGTTGCTCTAGATTTTCCTAATATTTCATACACGCCCTCCTCACCCTCAAGTTTTTGCTCTGTTCTGTAATTGCTCGTGAAGATCAATACGATGAAATAAATTGTAAACATAACGCCATGGTTTCGTATAATCGTTCAAATCATAAATATCGTTGATTGTACTATCTTTCCAATTGTGCATAATTAATTTTTGTTTAACAGTATCTCTAGAAAGAAATTTTTAATGACCTATCTGTTATGAACATAACAGCTAACCTTCTAGCAACTGTCTCGACGCCCCATTCTTCGAGAAATTTAGTTCCATTAGTAGCAACAGTAATCGATGAACCATAAACAACGACTTCGTGGTCATGTCTGCATAGAGTTGAAGAGGAAACAAATTAATTCTAGTTAAGAAATGCTTGTTGCGTGCTTCTCAGTGCAAATCGATATTCTCAGGTACGTTCATTGTCACATTTCCATTTATGTAATATTAAATGCATCAGAGTACAAACCGTAATAAAGTTCAATTTCTTATCGGTTATTGTATGTGTCAAATAATAACATACCTTGTATTCTTTTCTCTTTGATCTCTTATGGTCTTTATACTACCTGGAGATGTCACTGAGAGTTGAAATTCATTATAATGATTCCTTATAATTCCAATCAATGTACATCCTCGAGGCTGTCTGACTCATTGCTAAGTGTTTGATATGGACATGTGACATAGTAGACGGTGATGAGACGTTACTTTTTTTGTATCTCTTTAAGTTCTTCTAGTAGAACAACAGCGAATTTAGCACGCTACGGTTAAATCTCGATATTTTTTATTTCATCTATTGGATTATACACAAACACCGCATCAAAACCAAATAATACTGCGCTTTATGCGATCGTTTAGCAAGCATTTGTTCTATAGACTTGATCTATCTAAGAAGAATTTGTGAATTTTTATCACAAGATACTGTAAGAAGTTTAAATAAGATAAACATCGCGAAAGAAAATATTTGAGTATTCCATAAAAACTCTGCAAGTGTTGAATGAAAGAGTGGCCAAAAAAAGTTTTTCAAATGGTCATGTGAAAACAAACGGCCGATTTAAATTTTGTAATTCGTTTCGATATCGGTTTGAATGTAAACGAGTAAAGTACAAATCATCTTGATCGTTCGTTGACCTAAACAGATATGCATAAAATACACGCGTAAAGATAATTGAAATGGTGTTAAACAGTATGAAGTAACAAATTCAAGAAATTTCATCGTTGAAATGAATCTGAGTAACAAGTTGAAATTCTGATAAACAGGAATCGTAGCGAACGAGCGGAGTTATAATCTTTCAATTGAGAATACTAAAGATCACGTGATTGTCTTATACCGGTGTTTCAACATCGAACACCGACCGATTTGTCAACGCAAAACACGTTCTTTCGATAAATTAAATGAACCACAATAGTGTATGATTTATTTTTTGATAGTTTCATTGATTACTGGATAAAGCCAAATAATTGTTGATCATCTAATTCGCGTCGAGATAAAACTTATACGTAAGGTCCGATGTTTTCCAGACACGGTGGACAATCTTCGATGTAGTCGACAAACTGTCATGTTCTGCTAGAAAATGGATCTGCTCATCGAGAAAAGAGTTTTCACCGATAATAAAGGTATTTGAATACATTGAGTCACACGAATTATCGGTGTGAAGCTAGCACGAAGGAGCTAGCACGAAGAAACTGTGTGTAAGCTAAAAACTTTTTTCCAGAGTTTGTCCGGTTCATAAAACCTAGTCCATTCGATTCAGAATTTAATTCTGCATCGAATGGTGGTATTTTTATTCACCGGACAAACTTTGGAAAAAAATTATCGGAAACATAAATAGACCTATATGAGGCAAACAAAGATGTGGTAAACTTTTTTCCAAAGTTTGTCCGGTGAATAAAAATACCACCATTTGATGCAGAATTAAATTCTGAATCGAATGGACTAGGTTTTATGAACCGGACAAACTCTGGAAAAAAGTTTTTAGCTTACACACAGTTTCTTCGTGCTAGCTCCTTCGTGCTAGCTTCACACTGATACACGAATTCATATTCGTATTCTATTTTATGACATTGTTCTAAAGAATCACCTTTCAAAATCTATTTTTGGTTCTCGAGATGATCGAACTTACGTTAGCTAAATTTCCAACTATATCTTTCCTTTTGTAAATTCTAGATGAAGCCACACACTTCTCATTTAGAGTGATGTCATAATCCCGTTACACCCGGTATCCATCCAAACGCAGACAATTCGCGGCGTAACCATAGTCAGTTGACTCGGTGTATCCAGCTCGATACCCATGTCTATGTGTCTTGCAAAGCTGAGGGATATGAGTGGATTTGGGGTACTCCACCCTCACCCATCCTAACAATTTATCCACGTTTTCCTACACTTGTCGCAGCAGTAAGGAGGTTTTTGTCGTTGTTTTTTGTTGAGCAATCACCTGAATGAAATTTCATCCAGATGACACCCATATGTATTCTCTCAGTGATCCGTCAGCACTCTTTCCAGGTTTTCTTAGTCTTAAGGGGCCTGCACGGAAAGTTTGGCGGCCATAATTAATGCAGTACATGAGTTCATAGTAAATAAGTGCACATCCATGCAAGTTTTATATACGGATGTGAGAAGATTTTACTGAGAGTCAATATTGGTACAACCGATCAGGCTCATCTTCGCACTCGACTGAGGTATTGATGAGATGATGCTGTGTAGAAAATTCCAGGTCCGTCTGTCGGTCTTGTATCGAAAGTTATTGTGTAAATGGACGGACACACTAACCGACTTTAGTAGTCTATGCATTTTTTAAATACACGAACAGAAGCAGTTAAAGTTTTTTTCCACTTCATTTTGTAATATACCCGTCAGATCACGTGCAGTTTTTGCGCAGAAAAAAAGAAAAGAAACACTGAAAATAGTGTTTCTTTCTTTACGTGCGTTATGATGCTGATGTTTAGAAGTGTAACAAAAGCATTTTCTACGCACTTTACGACGATGTTAGCTGACTGAGTATTGTGATAGTTGCATAGATTAAAACTTACAAGAACATTATATTATGGTATGTTCAACTCATCGTTATCTAAATTAAGTTGAATACCAAATATGATCAAAGTAGTTCTAATACTTTGAAATATCTTGTAGACAATAGCCTTCTCAAAAGATACTAAACTGTTAGACACGCTGCTTCTATATATAGTCGTAATCAGTAGAGGGAATAACCATCATTATTATTTTGTAACGATGTCATTCTTGTAATTTTAGATCATATTTATTAGATCCTTCGATGGGAATTTGATTTAACTACGATTTGTAAAACATTGAATATACTTTTTACAAAGGTATTTGTCTGAAATGGCTTTAGCCCTAGAACGTCGTTGCGTATCAGCTGCATATGCACTATTTATCTTCAGAAATCTTCTGGATCTTGCTATATCAACTTGTACAGATTATCATCAAAACCCGATGAATTCATTCTGGTTCGATCTTTTAGACAGTTTTGAACAAACCATATTGATCATTATATTTACATACTCATTGTTAATATATTTTTACATAAGCCGTGGTTCTTTCAAAGAAACTTTATATTCATATATCTGTGGGGATTATGTTGATGCGATTTTTTTTACATCATTTTGTGTTATTCTCAATCTAGCGCAAAATCCTGTTCACGCATGTATTTCCAGTGATCGTCTGGAAGAGTTTTTTGCAGATCGCAGCAATCGATTATTACCACTAGAAGTCGCTGTATATAATGATAACGATGATGATTTTGAATTAGATGTAGATTATTATCATGTTCGGTACAAAAACGTACGCTTATATCGTGTACGCAGTGGTAGAAAAAAGATTCCGAATGTCAAGAATACAACAATGGCTTTGAATAGTGAAACATTATCAAGCAAAGAAAATATTCCACTGCAGCAACGAATTATATTTTCATCAAGACATGGTTATCTTGTCAAAAATATTTATAATATTGATCAAAACTTCATTTGTCAATCATGTCATCTAGTTTTTCGGCAACCTTTTCATCTTCGTTGTGGACATCGACAGTGTCAAACATGTTTAAACACACAAAAGAAGTAAATCTATTCATTTTCTCTCTAAAATCTCATAATTATCGATTTTTCATCTAGCAATATTATTCATTGTATCTTATGTTCTCAATCTTCTACAATTGATGAAGTATGTCTCGTAAATGTATATTATAGATATATATCAGTTTCGTTTCTTTTCTCATTTTATCGTCAGATTTATTATGATGAAAAATTTCAAAATCAGTTGGAATATTTATTAATATCTTGTCCAGTTTGTGATTGGAAAGGACGAATGAAAACATATGAAGTAAGGAATATAGATTAATGATTTTGCTTCTTACTATAATTGACATTTCTGTATAGAAACATCTTGAACATAATCATTCAAACAAATTATTTACACGTGCGTTTTGCAAAGAAGAAGTAAAATTTCGTCAATCGATGATCATTTCAATTCTATGATATTTTTTAGGTTAATCAAAGTAAAGTCTGGGAACATTACTTGACTTCGTCACATCAATTAATATTGTTAAACATTCTCTGTAATTTACAGAGAAAATATGATCAAAACCAGAAAGTGAAATTTTCTAAAATTCTCGATTCGCTCAATATGACATCAAATGAAATAACTGCGCTCGATAATAGTTTGCAACAAATAAAATGTGAAGATCACCTTCAACACAACACACTTCAACCGTATGATTCTGAAATACTTTTATTGCAATTTTTAAGTAAAAATATTGAGAATGAATTGAATCGAATGAAAACTATTCAAGATTTCTTTCCACGAGAAATATTGCTATTAAAACAGCAATTCAATGCAAAACAATTGACAGTTTTCGATGGAATATTAATTTGGAAAATCAATGATGTCAAACAAAAACTATGTATGTATATTCAGAACAAAATCATTCTATTTATTCTTTTGTTAATTCTAATTGTAAGATGATGCCTTGTCTGAAAGACAACGATCAATTTATTCTGCTGATTTTTATTCATCGATTTATGGTTATAGAATGCGTGCAAGGTTATTTCTTAATGGAATTAATACTGCTCGAAACACACATATGTCAATATTCTTTGTCTTGATGCGTGGTGAATATGACGCAATTTTGACATGGCCCTTTCATTTTAAGATTAGATTTTCTCTAATTACCAAAGATAATCAACATCATTTTACCAGTTTCGTTTGGTCTGATGTCAAATCTGTCTGTTTTCAACGTCCACGTTTAGCAATGAATGAAGCTTATGGTATTGAAAAGTTTATATCTCTTGTGAAATTTAAACAAAATCAAAATATTTATGCGCAAGATGATACAATGTTCATTAGAGTTGAAGTCGATTTTCTAAGCAAACCACAAGGTGAATATATGTCAAATGATACGATTTAATTTGAAAAAGACAAGAATATTTTCTATTTAGAATTCCAGTCCGATTTGGGTGAAATGTTAATTGTGGATGAACAACATACAGATTCAATTCATGACGACTTAATGCGCAAAGTTTTAATTTCGAATGAAAATGCAAATACATTTTAGAGACTTATATAAAAAATAAATTAAATATTGAGTGTAAACACTGGAACATCATTAATTTCTTTCACTCAAAACCACATTCATATTCTTATTTTAGGAATATAACAAATAACTTAGGGCATCACTTTAACGTTTCGTTCTTGAAGACGGGACATGATGATATTCTTTTCCAGTATAGTAATCTTGAGATAGGTATTTAATCTCTCTATAGATTAAATTCAACATTTATTGAGTATCTAACTCCTTTGGTCAAGATGTAAAAATTAAGAAACGACATAGTCTCGATATGCTCATATTGATGATAATGATGATGAATTACGCACTGAATAACTGTAGAGGAGAATATCGATTTATTAGAATCTTGTAGTTGATAGGTCGTGATACTGCGAGATCTTAACTGATTATACTTGTAAATCTATATTTTGAGAAAACAACACATAGATAGTATTGAGTATCCATATCTGAAGTGTATCCATTAAAAAAGGTTTGTTCAAGGTCTACGTCTGTGTTTTTGTTTTCATGGGTGAATGAAGTAACAATCATGTCAAGAAATAGGATCTTAATGAATTAACTGGTCAGATAGGCTCTGGTGGTAGTGGACAAGGATATCTAATGAATCAGCTGAGCGGTCCAACTAATATAATTTTCGACAAAAAAAAAAAGAAAATGTGATGATTTGTGGTTCTCAAAAGAAACAAGTAATACGATGGCCTCTTCGTAGTCATACATGTGAGCCAGTAATTGTTTCAAACATTGCTTGTAACGGTTTAGTGATGAATAATTCCGAATATCTCTACGTTTCTGACACTGAACAATATTGTGTCAAACGATGGTAAATAGGCGGTACTCAGGGAACGACAGTAGCTGGTGGCAAAGGAAGAGGTGATCGGCTCAATCAACTTGATCATCCTTATTATGTGTGTGTTGATCAAAATTATGCTATCTATGTATCAGACAACAAAAACGATGGTGTCATGAAATGGAGTGAAGCTGCAAGTGAAGGCACTGTTGTGGCCGGTTTTCGAGGACAAGGAAATGATCTCACACAACGATCAGATCCTTTAGGAGTCATAGTAGACGGCGTGGGAAATGTCTACGTAGCAGACGCAGGAAATGTTCGAGTAGTACGTTGGAACAAAGGAACTGTATAAGGTACTGTTGTAGTCGGTGGAAAGGGTGAAGGAAAGCAGAGTAATCAATTGCGTCGACCAAATGGTTTATCATTTGATCAAAACGGCCACCTTTATGTTGTTGAAGAGAATAATCACCGAGTGGCAAAGTTTGAAAAAGATCCATATCAGTTGGACTCAACTTTCATGACTGCCTTCCGAAATTTAGCCGGAATTTTTAATTAAACTGTATCTTTTATCGTTCTTCCCTTGCCATGTTTATTATTGAACACCTTTTTTTAAATAAGATACAGAATAATATGATACGATCACATAATTTATGAAATATTCTTTTGAGGCTTCAAAAACACAAATGAGGGTCCAATACAAATCTCTTGACAAATCATTCTTGCCTTTAAACGCGACCGAAACTGAACTGCGAAGAGTATTTAACCACAATATGATTCTCCTTTCGAGAGCTATCGTGCAAATAGGTGGACACACTGACCAATTTTAACAGCGTACTCATCTTTTAAGTACACAACAATAAAAACAGGTATGTGTATGCGTATAGTGGCAACAGAACGTATCCACACCTAAATCAAATTAAGTAATAAATCTTCAGGATGTAAATCAAGATGACAAATATATTTCCCTCATCGATTAATCATATTGAAAATTTGTCAGAAAAAGAATTTCCATTGAACAATCAAATCAAATTTTCGAGTGCAGTTTTTCTCTTCATCAGCAGCATAGAGATTTCCATCTGAATCAAATCGTAAAGCTGTTGGCTCGCCTGCATTTTCATCGAGAACAACTTCACCTTCTTTCATTCCTTCATTCCAACGCATTATTCGATTATTCAAACTATCTGCTACATAGATTTGACCATAATCATCAACAATTACTCCTCGAGGTTCATTCAGTTGTTCAATACTACTTCCAGCTTCATTTCCAGCAGCTGCCACCACGCCTTCTTTGGCATCTCTTTCCCATTTCATTATACGATGATTATCCGTATCTGAAATATAAATCGATGAAGGACTCTTCAATTGATTAAGTTGATTTCCCCATCCATTTCCACCAGCTATACCAGTATTCCTTGTTTTCCTTTGATTTCTTCCATTTTCCATCTTCGTACTTCATGCAGTTCATTATCAGCAACATAAAAATATCCATGTTGATCCATTGCTAAACGATAACAGCTGATATTTTCAATGAGAATTTCGTGATGAGTTCAATTGAACCATTGAATTAATCGTCTGTTTCCTCGATCAGCAATGATCGATGAATTACTCTGTTCATCAACAAGCACATCTATTGGCGATGTCAATTGCTCAGTTTTGTTTCCAATTCCATTTCCGCCCGCAGTAACATTTCCTTGACTTGTTCCTGATATCCATTGAACAACACGATGGTTCATCAAATCAGCGATAAAAACAGTCTTATTTCTGCCAATAGAGAATCCAGCAGGAATGTAAAGTTGATTTAAACCGAATCCATGACCATTTCCACCAGCGATGATTCTTCCGTATCGCTGCCATTTGTTAAATTTTGCTCCTAAAGCAGAATATCAATACTATCTTCATATCTTTCAATGATAAACTCACTTTTCGTTGTAGTCTCCGTCTTCATGGTGGTCGTCGTCGTCGTTGTCACTATACATTAATACAAATTATTAAGGTAAATCAGTGTTCATCAAGTTGAAATAAATATTTTCTACTTACCAGTTGATACTAGTGGACAAATGTTTCATTCATCATCGACAATGGATAACAAACAGGACTCGTACTGCATCGATGATGACGAACGCAGATATGTTCTGGTTCAGAGCAATCTTGTGATGATCCACATGGAACGAGTTGAGAACAGAATTTCCAGAGAAATCCACAGACACTAACATCTTGAGCACCTACCATAGAAAAGCATCCGCAAGCACTACTAGTCGAACAGCGATCATATGGAATTGTACTGTCACATATCTGACAGTTGACCTGGAGTAATAAACTAAATTGAAGTAAAGTTGGTTTAAGAATATTCAAAGAAGCACTGATTTCATACCTTAGAAAAACACAAATCAAGTGAGACACTGTTCTGTTGGTGATCATCGTCGATCAAATTGGAATCAGAAACTAGTCTCTCGCAGAAGTATACCTTCGTTCGTCATTTGTAATCATACCTGTAAATTAAAAAGTGAGGTGTCTAATCCTCTGACAATTGAAGTGATGATATTATTTTGATGCACTCTGATGTACTTCATTCTTTCGAATGACAAAATGACGAAGAAACACAAGTAGACGTTCGATCTGTTAATCATTACAGAATGTTTGTGAAACATTGACTCATACCTGTTTCATCAGTCTTCGTAAAAGTGTCCGTTCAATTTGATGAATCACAGAATGAACTGATTTCGAAAATTTCGTTTTTTACAATTGATAAGTATAGAGGAAAAACGAAATTTTGAAAAGAAAAAAACGTTCAAAGCTTCATCATTTCGGTGATTCTAAGCAGAATTTGTCTGCCTTCTTTGCAATGCACAAAATGAAAGTCTTTCTCATTCGCAGATCAGATCAAATCTCTGAACTCGTGAATTTCCCCATTCAGCAACATACAGATTTCCCTTGGCGTCAAATGATAAACCACTTGGAAGAAGACAATTGGTTTGATCCATTTCCTTCCCCCTTTCCACCAACAACAATTTCACCCTGTTGGCTTCCTTCACTCCAACGCACTATTATTCCTAGAGGACAATCCAATTGATTCAGATTATTTCCTTCACCATTTCCACCAACCACAATTGTTCCTTTCTGTTCATTTCTTTTCCGTCGAATAACTCGATGATTTCTCATATCCGCAATGAAAATTCTGCATGGCTACCAAATTGGTTTAATTTCTTTCCATTGGCGTTCCCTCCTGTCATAGTTTGTGCGTTTTGTTTCTATTTTTCAGTTAGAGATTTTGCGAAGATAATAAAATTTTTGACAAGAGTGATCTTGCTATGGTTTGAAATCACAGATCGACTTACGTCTCTGATTTCGATTCGTCGTAATTGATAAATCGTTCATTGATTCTGTCAGGGATTGCTTCATACCTGCAGAGCCTAAGGATAACTGAAAAAGTCCGTAAACGTAATGCTGAAGTAAAATCATCGATCTAAGAGAAGAAAAAAATGGCTACGGTGTATAAAAGCTCAGATTATCAAGTAATGCCAGTCTTTCTTTTCTCATGATATTATGATTTATTTAACCGTCAAAAAATATCTTTTTCTTTTGATTTTATATAACGAAATAATTGTTTCATTGCTCAAATCGATATCAAACTATAAACTTATTCTTCAGTGCTACCGACGGATAATTTCCCACAGGAAATCGAATTACACGATATGGTTGCGTAGTGTTGAAACAGGCAGACGAATGTTTTTTCGAAGTCAATCCGGAATCAATCACGCTGATCCGAGATTTGTCAAACGTTGTATATTTTCTATATTTTCTCGCACGTTGTGATGTGTAGGAAGCAATACTTTACGGAAGATACGACCACTCTTCTTATAAAAGAGAAGTGCTTTATCTTGACGACCTTCCATCTCATATGTTTTGCCAATATTTTGCCATGTAACTGCAATATCGTAATGATCTTCAGCAACTGATCGATTGTATATTTCTAGTGCCTTATACAAATATTTGCGTGCTATTTGTGAATGGTCAAGATTCAAATAAGCTTCGCCTAGATCATTATAACAAGCACCTAAAAGTGAATGGTGAGGATCTAATTGCTTTCGGCAAATGAATTTTGTTAGTTTAAACCATTCAATTGATTCTAATACATGATTCATTTTGAGCAAAGCTTCACTTATGTTGAATAAACACATAACAATCAGATGATCGTTCATGTTATTGTCACGCATTGGGATTAAAAGACATAACGCTTTTCCATTTGATTTAATTNCAGCTGTTTTCCGAGACGGAACCTGCAGAATTGTATCGATTTCCGATGTTTTCCGTCTCGGTTCCGTGCCGGTTCCGGCGGCCGGAATGCTCGACCTGGGATGATTCATTTTGAGCAAAGCTTCACTTATGTTGAATAAACACATAACAATCAGATGATCGTTCATGTTATTGTCACGCATTGGGATTAAAAGACATAACGCTTTTCCATTTGATTTAATTGCTTGTCGATAATAACCCTTGTTTGAATACGTGGCACCTAAACTGATATTAATCCGAGCAAGACGTTCCTTATCGAAATCGTCCACGTATCTTAAAATATGGCGAGCTTTTCGAAATAATGTCAGACTTGAATTACAATCACCTTTGTCATCCATAGCATTTCCGAGTGCATGGTAGTAACGACTGATTAATTTCTTTTTATCCACAGTTAATTGTGAAAGACCTTGTTCATAATATTTCTGAGCATCATCGAATTTACCAATGTCTCGCAATGCATGTCCAAACAAAAGAAGACTTGATTCGCCATCTCTTTCTCCATTATCTGCTTTAATACTTTCAATGATAGACTTCAAATCGTGATCATTATCACCAGATAATTTCATTTCGATAATATACACGCATTTTTCTTCATCTGTTCCACGTGTTACACGATGAATACGAAAAATTGATCCTAACATAATCAAAATTTCCTTTTCATTCGAAAAATCGCTAAGTGACGAAACGTCCGCGAAAGGTTTCTTGGTAACAACAGCAGGATTGAGATCAATCGTAAATAATACTCGTTTTTTATCGACATCGATCGATGTATCTAAACATAAACGGAATATCGCTTCGGCACGATCGATACTCGTCGAGAAAAAAGAATTGATGGAGATGAGTTTTCCTTCGGAATGACGTAATATTTGAAGTTCACGGTTCGATATCAGCTGTCCTCGATGAACTGTAATACAATGTTGATATTGATACTCTTTCAGTTGCTCTTGAATGTCTTGAATAAAGAATCCATACGAAAAGATCAAATCAATATTTTGTGTACGAAGTGCTTCGTTCAAATATGAATATAAAGGTGTTTCTTTGGTATACCATTGAATGGCGTTCGCTTTTGTATAATTCTGTTCGAATTCATTGAACTGATTGGTTGTAGAGTCAGATGAATGTCCTGGAATCTGTTTGATAACAGTAATCAATTTATTTGTGTCATTTGCGCTTGAAGGGATTTCGAGAAGACGATACATCAAGACTTGCGAATGTACGAATTTACCATTTAACTGTGTCATTGATCGTTCTCGAGTTTGAGGGAGATTAGAAATATGAAAGAGAAATGGTTCGTCAATCTTTTGACGTTGCGGTATCGGTCGATTCGATGGAGAAGAACATTCGCTGATAGTTTTTTGGTGCATCATCTCCATTTTTTTCTATACTTTTATGTCGCAAATAGCATACACGACAATTAACTAAAATGGTCTANAATGTACGAATTTACCATTTAACTGTGTCATTGATCGTTCTCGAGTTTGAGGGAGATTAGAAATATGAAAGAGAAATGGTTCGTCAATCTTTTGACGTTGCGGTATCGGTCGATTCGATGGAGAAGAACATTCGCTGATAGTTTTTTGGTGCATCATCTCCATTTTTTTCTATACTTTTATGTCGCAAATAGCATACACGACAATTAACTAAAATGGTCTATAGTAACAATTGGAAAAAACCCTGGAAATAGTGACACATTGTAACAGGTACGCGACGTTCTTTCTTTTATTGTAAAAGAAAAAATTTTTTGTTTGTTTTCTATACTCTCGCATTGAGTACACATCGTTAAAAAGAAACAGAATACCATTTTTTTTCATTTCTCTTCTCTACAGCTAACGAAATAACTTCACTTCACAAAACTAAAGTTAAGGGCTAAATGTCCTTTGATAAAACATGAAGAATATGAACTGGCGCTTTTTACGTAGTTTCTTTTATAAGATTTATTTGGCAAAGTCAGTCATCTTCTTTCGTTAACCTTTTGCGGCCGGCTGTATAATCAGTGTTCGCACAATATCTAGTGATGTCTACATTCTTTTGACACTACCCGTCAAAAACTAACTCATAGAAACGTTCTTGCGTACAAATATACTGTTTTTATTACGACAAGGATCGACAAAGTGTATACTCTTTTCAAACGAGACTTCTTCAGCACTCAATAGATCGATCGTGTCACTTCCGTATCGCTATCGTTCACCAACTCAATTCTCACAAAATTTTACCAAAATAAAAGTATATAACCTCGCTTTCAACATTCTGCTTTCGCTTACCTCTTTATTTCGACGTTTGTTTTCCCGGGCCGTTATTGTTACTGATTTTTAGCATTTGGCCATCAAGAATAATATTGTGTGTTCAATTGTCTTATCATGATACTTTTCATTTGTACAATATTGTTCACAAGAAAAAAAGCAGAACGTAGGTTTTATTGTATTCGTCCTTCTCCGTGAACTCCTACGATCAATTGGTCATCAGCATGTGAGAAAGATGATGGTTCACAGAAATTTCAATCTGACATAGTCGGATTCATTTATAAATACAGCTCAATTCCAACAAGATAACAAGGGATCAAGTCATTGCGACTTCTCGAGAATATCCGTTAGTATTCAACGCGAATGAAAGAATATCACAAGTATTTCTAAATATAAGGCGGCAATGCTGAATATATATCTTATAGCATCAAATCTTCGATCCTAATGTATAATTCATTCATCATTGTTGCGTTAAATCTAATGGATGGTATCCTGCATAAGGTGATTATACAATATAATTGAAATATAGTCAATAGAGTTGAGTATTCTCCTAGTTTGAAACATTCTTCACTAATGCCAAAGTGCTTTGTCACTTTCACCTCAGATGAAAAGTGTAACTTAAGTTATCATTTTGAGAATATGACCTCGAATAAATACATATCTATTGATTTGTTAATAGTTTTTAAAGTGACATCATTCTATATGGAAGGTATCTTTCACACAAATGGTTAAAGAAAGACCTTTTAAAGATATGCAGAAAAACATCGTTAGTTACAAGGAAGATCGCAATCTAATTTTATATGTGAAAATCTTGTTTATTTTGAAGAAAACAAGTTCGAAAGAATAAAGGTAATTGACATTTTCCTTTAATTCTGAATATGTTCAAAACTAACTTTGCTACCAGTGATTTGTAACAAACGTTTTGCTTTCAATTCTTGAAAAATGTAAGCATAAACAGCTTGTGGCATTTGTTGATGATAATCATGATATGCTTTATTGGCTATTCCAACAGAGCCCGCAGCAGCAGCAAGACCTACAACAACAGTACCCACTGGCCCAACTATTGATCCAGCTAGTGCACCTAATCCAATGCTTCCTAAAAATGTCGTGAAACCCATTGTTGCTATTTTCTCCCAATCAAATTCTTTTTTTTGAATAGCACTTGCAGCTATTATATTATATTTATCATTTTGCCGTTCTGCATATAAAACATAAGATGTTCTTAATTTATTTGATTGAGGCATATCATTACTGATGTCGTCACATGCAAGCAATGTTGATTGATCATTATTGCTTAATGTTTCTAATGCCTTTTCGTAAAGTTGCTTTAATTCTGTGACTGGACATCTATCAACCACAAGTTTCACATCCTCACGTTCTAAACCTTGGTGTTTACTCCAATCAAACTCATGGTTATAACGGATTGTTGAAAGTAGTTTGTGATTTTTTTGTAGTTCTTCTAAATATTTTGATGCTTCTCTTGGATCGAATACTTTTGTATGGGTATTTGTGGACGAGTTGGACATTGCACAAAACGATTCAAAATGAAATAACAAAATGTACAAAGAATAATTTTATCGATATTCACACTGTTAATATATAAAACTGCTTGATCCTTTATATCCATACATGTGACGTGTTGATAAGAAAAGGAAAAAGCCTACTTAAGAAAAATTTATCATGATATTAAGATACCACATGTTGATAACAACAGGAAAAAAACCATCTAAAAGTACATGACGGTGTTAAGATGCGTCGACATTAGCAGCTTCACGATGAATGGCTGTAAAATGATATAACTCGTTGATAAAAACCCTACATAATAATCATGCGATAAGGATTTTTCCAACAAAGTGAAATTTTCTATACCCTATATAGGTAAAAAGAAATCATTTTGTGTTATTCGCCTTTACCTTAATAGAAGCCATATTTGTGTGAGAGCTTTTCAATGTCGGCCACTCCGATTTACGATATAGCCCGTCGTGACGTGATAGAATATACTACCCAAGTGAAAAACACACAAGGTGTATTTTCAATGATTCACGAATCATTCGAATTTCATTTTGGCACGTATCAAGGTATTAGTGATAGTGATCTTCAAACAATTGCACGTCGGCTCAACGATAAAGATTTGGAAGAACTTCTGCTACAAACAGTATTAGCCGGTGATGGAGCTGCAAAATATAAAGACCATAGCGTAGCAGGTGAAATTGGATTTAGAAAAGTATTTGTAGCATTCAAAAAAATAAACGGCAAATATGATATTGTTTATTGTAAAGCAACACAAATAAGACGAGCTGATTGGGGAAAAATTGGCGCTACTATTGGTCTCACAAGTTTCCTTGGAGGACTAGTTGGTGTAGGACTTACTTTTGTTCCAATTGTAAACGTAGCAGCTGCACCATTAATACTAGGAGGGGCCGCTGCTGGTGGAGCTGCTGGAGCTGCTGCTGCTGGTACAGCGGCTGTTACACAAAAACGGGACATTTCAAATGTTGTTATGGGTTACATAGGAAAAGAACTATCAGATAGAAATCTCTTACGATTAGTTTGAGATGAAACATTTCGATACTTTATATTCAAGAACATTATTCTGTTCAATTCTATATAATAATAATAAATGTGGAAACTCCAGATTTTATCCGAAAGTTAGATGTGTTACAAAAAGTGTATCGGATAGAAAACATAACGAGTCATAGAGAAATATCAATGCTGTTTTAAGCGAATCTATATACGAAAGTAAAATAATCATCAAAGGAAATAATGAAACATTGAGAAACTACAATAACATATGGAAAGCCAAATAATACGAGAATGCCTAGGAGTGTGATGGTTCGTCGAATAATTTCCAGATCTCTTTTTGCATGGAATAAAATAGTGACAAGAATTATTCGTTCGTTCATCTGTTTGACATATCGGATTAATTTGAAATAAACAAAAATCACTAATGAAAGAGGAATTAAATACACCGTTGACATCATGTAGAGAATTGAAAACGATAATCGAAATGGAACAATACAAACTTGATTTTCCACACTGAATTCAACTTGATTAGTAAGAAAATATTGTAAAGGACAGATAAAACTAATAATCCATGTGAAAGATATGAGGATAATTTGAAATTTCCATGTTTGATAAAATAAATCAGTTGGATAAACAACACAAAGATAACGATAAAATGTTTGTAAGAAAAATGCAAAATTGATTGAACTTGATGAAGCATAACCAATATAAGAACGAAGAAAACATAACGAATCCATGAAAGAATTTCCCTTCAAATCATTTTGTAAACGAAACAAATCGATACTGAGAACAACACATGAAAATATGAATTCTGATAGACAGATGTCGATAATGAACATCATTGGTACTGTATAACATGTTTCATCGTTGATTATAATCAATAAATATATAAAGGATAATATCAATGCTAAGGAAATTGATATTAGAAGAATAGTATTTATTGGAATAAACCAAAGTTCGATAACAATTTTTGAAGAATTTGTGATTGTGAACATTTTTCTTGAGTTTATCTGTACCAACTATTCGAATGAATATAATCAAGAAGTACTCAGAAAGAAACTTGTGATGTTTATAAATATCACGGCTTGTTTAGAAATGAAGTACATGTGCCCTCTTTTGTTATCAATCTCATGTTTATTCAAATGGAATTAATAGAAGACAGAGACAATCAATTATTAAAATGAAATCGGATGGAAATGTTGAGAATCTTTTTTGACAACTTATTCAATTGTAAATTTATGATGTTCTGGTGAAGAGTGCGAGTTTAGAATGTTTGAATTAGGGTCTGGATGCAGATGTGAATTTAGGCAAATCTTCTCTCATTGCACATCCACGCCTTTCGGTATTACCGATGAATAGTTTCTAGAAAGTCGAATGACACCATATGGTTGAGGTGTGTTGAAACGTGCAGAAGAATATTTCTTTAAAATTAATCGTGGGTAAATGGCGCTGGTCCGAGATTTGTCAAACGTTGTATATTTTCTCGCACGTTGTGATGTGTAGGAGGCAATGTATGGAAGATACGATCACTTTTCCTATAATAGAAAAGTGCCTCGTTTGTATGACCTTCCATCTCATATGTTTTGCCAATATTTTGCATATGATGCATTATAGCGATTGCCGGGAAATTGTATGGAGAGACAGGAACGAACCAATTTCCGGAAATCCTTTTTCCTAATTTCCAGTCTTGGAAATTGGATAAGGACTTTGATTATGGATGTCCATAATGGGCATAATGGCCATAATGGAAAATTTCCCAATTTCCAAGGTTCGGAAATTGAGGGTGACTTTGATTATGGATGCCCATAATGGCCATAATGGAAAATTTCCCAATTTCCAAGGTTCGGAAATCGAGGGCCACTTTGATTATGGATGTCCATAATGGGCATAATGAGCATAATCGAGAGTGACGCTATTTTCGTGCTAGGATTTGAGATCAGGGGCTGTCCTAGGGTGTCGGAATAGCGAAACGTACAAGCCTGGAAATTATGACTAGCGATAGTCTAGATCTTGAGGGTGGGCTGACTTTCATGCCACAGAAAAAGAAGATAGGAGAGTCTGTGAAGATCTATGAAATTTGAGCTTGCGCGGGTCGTTTTAAAAATGTGCAAAAATGAAATTTTTATTTTGTTTTTCTGAAGAATGTTAGCATTTAAATGTGAAATTCAACTTCGATATCTGTGTCCACAAAGTACGAACTCTTAACATCATAGAGGTTTTTAATTAAGGAAATTTGTCTTCTGGTCGGATTCTGAGTCGAACTAATTGCGTAGAATATAGCTCACTGCCCAACGGTAACATTCTTTCATGAGATGCCTAATTCGACTTATATTATAACCCAGGTCATTTCCACTCGGTCGGAACCGACCGGTTCCTCATGTTTCTTTGCCGCCGGAATCCGGCCGGTTTTCTACAGGTTTTTACCGGCAAATTCCTACTGGATCCAGACAGAAACGACGACAATTGAGAATGAGCTGGACCCGGCCACCATCAGGAACCAGCTGAATCCGGTGATCGTCAAAAACCACTTGAATCCGGCGACAATCGACAATCAGCTGGATCCGGTGACCATCGGAAACCAGCTGAATCCGGTGACAATCGACAATCAGCTGGATCCGGTGACCATCGGAAACCTGCTGAATCCGGTGATAATCGGGAATCAGCTGGATCCGGTGACCACCGGAAACCAGCTGAATCCGGTGATAATCGGAAATTACCTGGATTCGGTTCGGAAAACACTACTGCGACCATTTATTTCTGTGATAACTTCGATTCTATCTAGCTCCACCGACAGCTTCAACATTTCTTTTCGCCTGTTTTCAGCCTAGATCTATTACACGTTACAAGCATCGCTCTCAAACGAATCAAGTGTACTCACCAACCTATCAAATTCACAGTAACAATAGATTTTCCTCCGAAAACGTGAAAGCGTAAACAATTCTGTGCGTAGCACTACTTCCTGCAAACCATCAGGTGAACCGCAAACATGATGTGGTTTTATTTCTTTGCCCATGAATATTCGCATGCGCGACGCGTCTGACTCACTTTTTTCTTCACATCCCTCTATTTTTTCCTTCCTAACGAATTGTTATAATTTCAAACGGACTGCACCGTTATATAAACAAAAAACGGTCGCGTCTATAGGTATTGAATTTTACATACCAATATGCCATCTTCATCCATTTCATATTAATATCCAACCTATGTTCATGACTTCTTGCGCACTCATCTAACCATAAAATTCCTTATAATAAACCACTCACAACAGCACGTTATACTTTGCATGATATCTAACTTAGACATTAGATTGTCTCCAGCTGTAGCTCCAAAAAACACCGTTTCCTGTGTATCTGCAGAGGAACTAGATCGAGAACACGACCCAAGCGAATCTTATACGGAATGCATCAGTAATGTCTTTACGTGCTATCCCAATCGAAGGACCAGAACACGCTGCACCATTTCGTCCGATCAAAAAAGTACTTCCCAGCTAAATAGGACTTGTGCATATAAAAAGTGTTGGAAGTACTTCGAAGTACTTCCCAGCTAAATATGACTTGTACGTATAGAAAATGTTGGAAGTACTTCGAAGTACTTCCCAGCTAAATATGACTTGTGCATATAAAAAGTGTTGGAAGTACTCCGAAGTACTTCCAAGCTAAATATGACTCGTACGTATAAATAGTGTTGGAAGTACTTCGAAGTATTGTTGTGCAATGTTCAGCTGGGTCGTTGGTGAATATGGTGGCAGTATGTGAAACTAGGTGGATTGTGTGGATTGTTTTATCGGGAGATGGTTTGAATGGTTTGGTTCTGTAGAGTGGTCTGTTTTTCGGGGTAGTTGCGAGCAGAAGTTGGGGTTTGTTGTTACGGATTTCGTCGGAAGTTGTGATGAACGGAACGGAACCGGCGGTCAACGTTCCCAGGCGTCGTGTTCGGTCGGAACGCGACGCTTCCGACGGAGTCGACGCTGGAAAATAGCGGATTTTCACGTAAGTGTTGGTCGACGTTTTCTCGGAGGATCCGGTTATCGAGAATAACATGGTTTGCGAGGTTCCAGTGTGAGGAAGTCGGCGGTTTTTATAGGAAACTTTATAGGCAGTATCCGGCTATATTGGTTGATCGGAAGTGAGGGAAAGTTTGATGGTTCCTTGTGAAGAGTTCGGGAGGATTACATCGGAAAGTACAGTGTGTGATCAGGTGTGGATCCGTCCACTGGATAATAGGAAGTTTTGTCCTTTTTTGATGAGCGGAAAAAGTTGGAATACGTCGGAAAGTGTCATGCGTGTTCCCCTTCGGATCCACTGACAGGAATGGAGGAGAGCGATGGCGTTTCCGGTTGAAGGGAATGGCTGGAGCACGCAGGAAATTTCCTCGTGTAGTCCGGCCGGAATCCGGCGGCAAAGAACCGGCGAATATCCGGTGTTATCCAGCTGTTTTCCGAGACGGAACCTGCAGAATTGTATCGATTTCCGATGTTTTCCGTCTCGGTTCCGTGCCGGTTCCGGCGGCCGGAATGCTCGACCTGGGATGATTCATTTTGAGCAAAGCTTCACTTATGTTGAATAAACACATAACAATCAGATGATCGTTCATGTTATTGTCACGCATTGGGATTAAAAGACATAACGCTTTTCCATTTGATTTAATT